ATTACAAATCGTTTTTTAGATGCAGGGTCAAAAGTTCATACACAGAAGAAAAAGTTAACAGATCATCAACAAAATTACTACAATCTGCTGAAATATAGAGCCGCAGTACGGAAGAAATGGCTGGGGCTGTAAAGGAAATGCCAGGGGCTGTAAAGGAAATGCCGAGGGCTATATAGGAAATGGAGGGGACTGTCAACGAAATGACAAACGCAACAGCACTGCTATTTTGAACAAAATGTGATATAACGTAACTGCTGTGTTAATGATGGTACCTACATAACTTATTTCTAGTTGTTATTTTAAAAAATTAATTTCTGTGATTTAATGGTATATATTTATATTTTCTTTAAGAATGTGATTTTTATTTAAAATTTTATGTATGTGATTTTACTTTTATTAATTAAAACCATTTTTACCGTGAAAAATAATTTGGAAATAACAGTATGCTCAGTAAAATAGAATAACAGATGAACTACTGCACGAACATGGGCATCATGTATTGCAATTGTATACAATACGACTATCGCCACGTTGGAAGAAATAAACGACAATCAAAAAATGTAGAATGATGCTTTAAGAGAAGTAACACCTACAGTTTGGCCCAACTATATAAAGTTTGCAGAAAATTGATTTCAAGGCGACGAGGCAGAGCTTATAATGTATAATAATGATAAACTAGGATTATCACTGATTTGGATAAGAATTTGGATGATGAAGACTGTTTCAGTGAAGAAAATAACACTAATTTAGTAAACTTAGCATTTAGAAATTTTTTAATCTTGGTTAATAGCCCAAGTAATGAAGCGTTTAGGACAGATGATACGTTGGTTCAATTTGACGTCCTGGTGTTTCCTCTCAATTGCTCCTTGGGCTATCTAGGTTGGATTTTTTAGGTTTTTTTTTTGAGAACGGTGCGCAAAGGGTAGTGTGAAAAGAAAAATTCTTGTCCAGTCTTCATCTAGACTACTGCAATATTTCAGCGATCCACACCAAAAACATATCAAAACCAAGTATTGTGAGAATTACTAGAGTTTGGAACCAATAATATAAAGTAACCAAAAATAGCCAATAACGTAACTGTGTCCCATATTATACAACTACTACTGATGCTATAACTTCAATGCTGCAAAAAAATAATGAATCACAGGAATAAACAGGAATTAAAAAAAAAGTTCTAGAAAGGCTGGACAGACTAGAACATAATAATAAAAGACGATAAAAGACACAATGACTCCTGACCTTAGGCTTCTCGAATAGAACACAAATGGAACTCTTACAGCAAGAGTTATTAGTGGCCTTAGAGACACAGCATGTGTATATACGTCAAATTAAAGTTATATCTTCTATAAATCTGCCAGAGGTGGAGCTTCTATAATTATTAAAACTAACATAATACACTATGAACGAGGAAAAAATGAAACTGAAGAAATACAAGCTGTTAGCATATCTGTTAAAACAAAAAATATGTACTTACTATTATATCTGCCTACTCCGCCCAGATATAATCTCAAAAGAGAAGACTACAACAACTTATTGGCAAGTCTTGGTGAAACATTTACATTAGGTGCTGATTTGAATGCAAAACATGTCTGCTGGGGGTGAAGACGTACTACAACCAATGGAAAAGAACAACGAGGCTATCAAAGATCAAAAATGTAGGTGGCACTTCACGGAAAAACCTACATATTGGCCAAGCGATATAAACAAACTACCGGACCTCTTGGACTTTTTTTCAGAAATATTGCAGCAAATTTTATAAAAATAGATGTTGAGGAATTAATATTTGAGAACTCGAATCCCACACTGACGAACAAACATACAGACTGGAAAAGATTTCAACTTGAACTCAGTGAAAATTGAATTAAATATCCCAATTAGGACGGTGAAAGATTTAGATACAGAAACGGAATTAATTTATCATCCATATCCAAAAAACTGCATGGGATAAATACGCCATTAATACAAAGTAAACCCATTATTAATTAATTACCCCAAAGAAATAAGGGATTTAATACAAATCAAATGAAAGGAGTGGCAAAAAATGATAACGAAACAGAACAAAAACAAATTAAATAGACTTACACAACAGCTACGAAAAGAGATAGAAAAAATTAAAAACGATTCAGCCAACAAATATCTGAGATGACCAAATCACTAATTACTCTTTATGGAAAGCTGTTAAAAAAAAATAAACTGATTCAACACAGATCCCCATTACGAAGAGAAAATGGGATGTGGGCAAAAAGTTAATGCTTTTGCCAACTATTTAGAACGCATCTTACACCCGAACCCAGGCGAAGGTGAAGATATTAAAATGGACTACCAAGAGGAAGTTAGTGATGTAGAGAAAATATTAACTAGTCCTAAAGAAGTACAACGAGAAATAAAAAATTATTTTAATGTAAAAAAGCTCTCGGGTTCAACACAGATCCACATTACGAACAGAAAATGGGATGTGGGCAAAAAGTTAATGCTTTTGCCAACTATTTAGAACGCATCTTACACCCGAACCCAGGCGAAGGTGAAGATATTAAAATCGACTACCACGAGGAAGTTAGTGATGAAGAGAAAATATTAACTAGTCCTAAAGAAGTGCAACGAGAAATAAAAAATAATATTAATGTAAAAAAGCTCTCGGGTTCGATCTGTTCATAGAAGAGATACTAAAAAAATTACCACAACAAGGGTTTAGTAAAACTAATCAATTTAACAAACGCAGCATTTAGACTTCAACATGTTCCACTACTATGGAAAACTGCAAAGGTAATAATGATAGCCAAACCGGGAAAGCCAAATAATGAAATAACATCATATAGACCAATCTCGCTTCTACCTGTGATATTAAAACTATTTGAAAAATTGCTCTTGAGAAGTCTGAATAAGACAAACAACAATTTACCCCATCCCATCAATTCGGATTTCGGGATAAACATTCTGCGATTGATTAGATCCATTGCATAATAAATACAATTGAGAATTCTCTAGAAGAAGAAAAAGTTGTGTCGCAGTATTTCTTGATAACTCAAAAGCCATCAATAAAGTGTGGCATCAAGGCCTACTATTTAAAATAAAGAAATGTTTCCCGATGCAAAATGTCCAACTACTAGAATCATGTATATTGCAGCAAACATTTAAAGTTAAAATGGATAACGAATACTCTGAACTCAAGTCAATATTCGCTGGCGTCCCACAAGGAAGGGTTCTTGGGTCAGTATTATACTTATACACCTATGACATTCCAGAGTTAGAAAATATAAAATTAGTCATATTCGCTGTCTTAACCATAGGATCAACTATAGAAGAGACAACAGCTAATCTTCAAAACGGAATCAATAGCATACAAATCTGGTCCAAATTGTGGCAAACAAAAATTAATGAAGAAAAATCCGCTAACATTACCAATAGAAGAATAGATTATATACTGATAAACTTAAATATTAATATTATACCAAATAAGAAAACAGCAAAATATCTGGGTCTAAATCTAGATGCTAAATTAAAATGGAAGGAGAATGTAAAAATAAAAAAAAAACAGCTAAAGATTAAATATAAAACTATGTATTGGTTGATAGGACGACACTCTTCACTTTCCATTCAAAATGAAGTCCTGATTTACAAACAAGTTCTAAAGCAAATATGGGCATATGGCCTACAATTGGAGGTGTACCAGAAAAAGCAAATACAATTGCCTAGAAATAGTCTAAAACCGAATTCTCAGGAACATAGTCAATGCTCCTTAGTATGTTCGGAATAAAGACCTGCACCGAGAACTCCAAGTTGAATCAATCCCAGAAAATATTAAGAAAATTGCCAAAAGACATGGGGAGAGGCTCCAAAAACACATAAAATTTAAATTACTTCAAACTTTTAGACAATCGGGATCTAGTGCTCAGATTTAAAAGTCAAAACTTTTGAGCTTGTGTAAGTGAAGTGATGGTGATGATCATGATAAAGTTACTTAGTGCTATGAGCCACGATATCGAAGTGGGCAGAATATGTTAATAACTAATATTGAACACAGGTTAAATATAGATTTACAATTTGGTAGTTAATTAGGTCATTATAAAAATGCTGATTAATCTTATATGATTTGGGGCATACGGACATATTAAAAAAAAATATATATACAACAGAAAAAACTTATTTGATTTAATTTTATGTTGGTGGAAACTTGTACATTTGTTATCCCGACTGGTCATGCTTTGTTCACTTATTTCGTATGTTAGTAACGACAAAGGCCATAATCGGTGAAAGAATATTTGTCTTTGAGTAGTTCCAATGTCAAATACAGACGGCGCTGCGATTTTATTATCAGATCCCAATCGCATAATATTATTTATGACGCAATTTGTATTCCATTGACAGTAGGCTTACTATTTTCAAGATTCTAGGTATTCATTTAAACTTTAGAATAATTTAGTTATTTACATACATACCTTCAAACTACTTTTTTTCTACTTGCAAACATTACTTTAAAAAAAACCCAAAGGTATGGTCTGATATTAACCGACTGCTAACCAGGATTTTTTGACAGCGGTTCCTGAAAAAAACCAATTTGTTGGTTACTTTTGGACCACGGCTGAGAGTTGCGTCACTTTTGTGACATATTCACATTAGACTTAATGATAACCGTAAAAATATACCGGTTAGTGAATTGACGCGAGTCTCCATTTTCAAGTAACTGCGTCCTTAATTTAACCGATTTTTCAGAGCTGTTGTGGACCGAGTAACTGATATTTCGTTTAATAATGGACCATAGCCTAAAAACATATATGTTAATTTCAAAGATTGTTTTTTGTTAAATGTCAATTGTCATTGGAAGACAAATTGCGTCATACTAATATAGCGCATTAGAGGTTTTGATACAATTCGAATACGAAATAAATGAAAATTTCATGTAACTAAACGACAAGAGTGGCTCCATTGAAGTAACGATATACTTTATTTTCTGTGAAATAATACCTAAAAATTATAAATAATTGTTCGATGACTTGTTGCAGCTCTAAAACATTCACCGTCGAAGCGAAAATCGTTGTCCAGGCCTTTGGGACGACACGAGGAAACCAACGAGAGAGAAAGTGAGTACGATTGTTTCAAAACGTTTGCTTTCGCTTGCGAAAATACCTTCTTTCATCAATACATTTTTTTTAATTAAAAAGAAAATATTATTATTATTATTATTATTATTAATACATGCAGCTACTGCTCAGGTGAAAAGCAATAATACAGTGCAAGTTAACGGCGGCAAGAGCGGTAAGTGATAATAGTACATAGTGACTAGACAGTATATAGCCGTAGCGGGTTAATGTTGGTCTGATATTGGGACAGCCTGTTCTTTGATTACCACTACGCATTTTTTGTTATTAAGGGGGGGTAAGGTTAATTCGTACAAAAAAAAAGGAACATTTTTGTGAATTTTTTGACGACACAGTTAAAATCTCTTTATTTAAACTAATGGTATAATAAAGTATAACATTCAAAGAATATTGTGTCAAATTTGCATGTAGAAATATTAAAAAATACGGAAATGGCAGCAATTATTCGGAAGCGTCTCGGAAAAAGTACAATTGCGGTGCCCCTCCTACCTCAGTGCTGGATCATGAGAAATAAAAAATCAAAGTTCTCTAGTTAGATAATCGTTTTCCCCAGGTAACGCTGGGAGGATTTTTCGAAATTTCAATTTTTCACTTTTTGGGAACACTTTGAAGTAAAAAAGTTGTTATAAAATAAAAAAATATTAACAAATTTGAAAAAAAACTGCAGTGTTACCTCGTAAATTATGTACAGAAATAGTGTTCAAAATTTCAAAAGAATAGGTTCCGTAGTTTTGAAATTATGAGGGGCACCGACTTTGGTCAGGGCCGTGGAGAGCCAGATCGAACCCCGGGACAATTTTTCAGGTCGGGTCCCGCGACAATTTTATAAAAAATTAAGCCTAAAAAAAGGTCTTTCTCCTCCTCTTTAGTGAATTCTGTAAAAAAAAGGTCCTCAAACAAAAACTTCTAGGAGTGAAAAAAAAGGTCCTCACTTAAAGCTGCCGGAGCCCCCTACTTGAGCCCTGGCCCTGGGAATTAGTCCCGGCTATCCCCCTCTTGTCGGCCCTGACTTTGGAAACGGTGAGTTGTGGGAAAACCGCTTTAAAGTTTTGAACAATAAAAAATTGGAATAAAACGTTCATAAGCGAGTTTTATCGGCCTTTTTTATCTCATCCATAAAGGATGTTGCTATCATTCATGATGTCTAAAGCATCTTTTTGTTTCTGTCTACGACGAATCCTCATTCATGAGCGCTTGATCCACTACTGATTCCCATGTCTTGCATATAGGTTAGTAAAACAAAATAACATGCCAGGCCAATGCTACACTAAATTATATACAGTACAGGTATAAACACGTTTTTACTTGTGTTCAAATTTCTATAAAAAAGGTAGGAGGTAAGGTTAGGGATTATATAGAGAGCGAAACAGCTGGCAAGGGAGGCCCCGAGACGAATTTTCGGTGGGGGCCATTGCCTTTAGCCATTCTCTTTTTAGCATATTTTTTTGAATAAAAGGCTCATAAATCGTAAGAATTTTTATCTCGGGGAGGGGGGGGTATGGCCCCTATAGCCCCCTGGAGCCGCCCTTGCTGACAGGTAACAATAGTGCGCTCGGGTCGGGCAGGTATTTTCTGATGCGCTGAGTCATGTATGTGGCGCGGTTACTCAAACCGCTGTATCTTCGTTAGTTTTGCTCCGATTCATCTCAAATTTTTACACAATATTCTTGAAAAAACAAAATCAAATATAAAAAAATGCAAAAAAAAGTTTAAAAACTTTACTTCCCCCTTAATTATGTTTTCTAGCCTTTTATTTATTAATATATTATACACATTATACAGGGTGTCCCATTTAAGAATTCAGAGCATGTGATTCTCGTAAAATTATATATACATATTTGCTAAAACGCGATAAAAGTTGACTAAGAGAATAATAATATGTAAAAATATCCCACATACCCAGGGGTTATTTAGGAAAAGCGGAAATCCGAAATTCTCGTTGTTTGTGTCTAGAGTTTTTATTTATTGACTTAAAAAAAAATATTGTATTTCGTTAGTACTTTAAAACTAACTATTCAAAATGGAAATGCAACTTTTCTTTTTTATGGAATCGCCCTCGGTTCTATTATTTTAAATACGGACTCGATTTATTGTAGGTAAAGAGTGATCCACAAAAAATGTTTATAAAGTAGACTTTGGAAAAATTCACGTATGTCGAGCGAACACTTCTTCTTTTTAAGTGTCAGTTTAGATTTAATTCAGAGCTTAGGGTAGTGTAGTTATCACAGACATGGCCCTTATATCTTGTAGATCATGGTCTACTTTAGAGACATTTTTTGTGGATCCCCCTACTACGTTTGATCCTAATTATAAACATGTAATACTTTGAGGACATCCTGTATAGAAACTTGAATAATATAAACGTGTTGCAAAAAATAATTATTTGATATGCCGGTAACTTAACATAATATATTAGTGTGGCGTAATTTGTGTTCCAATGACAGTTTACTTTTAACAAAGCAAACGACCATTCTGTCATTGACATTGAGATACGTTTAAAGGTACGTAACAAAATTATTTTTAATTGTTAAATGAATAAAATCTTAAAGATAATAGAAATAAAATGTTAATGAATAAGTACCTATATACCCTCTATTTTTGTCACTGTCATATGTTATTAGAAAGCAGATTGCGTCATCACTAATGCACCGTATTGCTTAGAATGTTGCTAACTTCACTCTGTTCGACACTTCTATAATCTGTGGGCGTGCGAAATACAAATTTGAAATGTAAGCTAAAATGATAATAAATAAATGTTGAATGGTAGAGGAACGGGACTGTTCCGTTAGTCACAAATTTTTGTATTTTCCTAATAATGATTCGAAAGGATTTCTGTATTTCTCTAGAAAATTAAATATGGCAACTAATCAACCTTTTTTGAAATATAGGTCTAGAGGCATTTATTTTATATTTAACTATTGGATTCATATGAACAAAATTCCAATTTTTGTGCTTGAAATCGAAGTTCGATTACAATCGAATTGTATGATAATGGTATTATAAAAATTGGTAAATTACTAAACGTATATAGTTAGATCCATCAATTATAGGTAGTAACAAATGTGTAATGAAATGCTGACATTCGTAATTTATCTCTGAGACAAAGATCTTAAATATTATTTATTATGCAGTTTGTTAACACAGCCGTCCTGTAAAATAAGGATGATATGCTTAATTATATTTGGCCGCGTGAAAGATAAAGAGAGAAATAATTGGTTAAACCACGCCCTCTTGATAGCAATGATAGGATATTGCATGTATATTGATATCCGCACGTCGACGATGTGTATTATGTTTCTCTCAATTCAACAGGATTGTGATTCTTTACCGTTCTTCTGCACTCAGAACGGCAGAGTTCAATTATGTATTTTAAATATTTTTATTTGTACAATGAAAAGAATTCCTCGTTCAGTATATCGATATCCTCATTCTAATAGGACCTATCCCACATTTTTCGAAATCTTTTTGATAATATTGGCCTAATTATAATTAATTGGCACCATCCAGCTAATGAATATACCTACGAAAAAAAAAAAAAAATAAGATTCAACATATTCTGCTAAGAAACAGGAAACAGTCCAAATATTTTCGCAGAAACGAAACAATCAAATGCTAAAAACCATTTTTTCGATTCAACGTCAAATTAGGCATTCCAACGACCTGTCAGAGTGCTGCTACATAAAGGTGTGTATAGATATAACGACGGGCCCAGGTTCATCTTTGCAGGGTGTCGTATAGACATGGGTAACGCACTAAAATTCTTTGCGTTGATACACTAACTCCGGCGCACTGTATTGCGCCAACTCATTGCGTTAACGCAATTGCGTTATTGCGTCACACCACTGCCTGCGCCGAATGAAGTCGATGCACCTCGGTGTATCGCATGATACCGCCGAAACCGGTGTTATTCAGCGCGGGCTGTCCTTTTATAAGGGTCAAACCGTGTTCAATGCAATAACGCAATTGGGAATTTAACTAAATTTCTTTTTATTATATGTTTAAAAATAAACGAAAATATAACAGTGTAATGCACCCATTTTTTTATTTCATTGTGTTCGGATTTTACAAAAAAATACAAAAATTCCAATTTATATAAAAGGATATAACTTTTGTATACTAGTAGCCAATCAAAATGGGAAGAACTAAAAATTGATTAAAATTCGACTTACAATCCTGCAAATGATGTGACATGTTGCAAAGAACATAATTACTTGATAGATTTTGGGTAATCTGCATTACGAGTTGCATCAATTACGTAAATTAAAATTCTCAACTCGTCACGGAAAACGGAATCAGTGCCTGGCGCATGGCGCACCAACAACTCGCGATCCTTTCGACTCAGTATCGAAAATTGCGTTGCGCTGATACAGTAACAGCTGGTGTATCAACGCTCGTAACGCATACAACTGCGTTAACGCAACGCAGCGCTGCGTTACCCATGTCTAGTGTCGTATGTCTACCGAGCGATGGAAAGCCGGGTTGGGCAAAATAGTATCAATGTAGGCCCGTTTGCTTTCCATCGCGCTGTACATATAGACACCGTACAAATCTGATGAACCAGGGCCTGCTGTTGGCCTAAGCCCGGCCCGTTATATCTTTATGCACCTTTATAATATGGTTTGTTGGCTTTGACCACTAAGATATAATAAAGAGGAGATGCTATGACGTGTCCGCACCTTTGCATACCCTTTTACGTCATATATCAAACTCGAGATAGTGGAGCTAGTCAGTATTGGTGAAAATAAATGCCATTTTGTTAAATAACTTCATTTAAATGATAAAAAATCATTTTAATTCCTTCAGTCTTCAAATATAAAATTATTGTATCACTCAACTCGCCATTTTCCGTCATTCGAAGTGCGTTCATCTGTCATATCGCAAAATAGTATTTATGTCGTCTCTACTTTATTCTATCTCGATGGCTTTGACATAGTCAATGATATATTTATAGTTATATAGATTGCTCAAGGTTGCTTTGCCAGCGGACACATTATCTCGCAAGTGCTCATTAATCAGAATCGGTTTAGCAGAAATGTTTTAAAACCAATTTTCAACCTTTGAATGTAGTAAAAAAATTATTACCTACATTTTTACTTCGAGGCATAAGTTTATGTTTATTTTGAAAAACATGGATGATCAATCTATATAACTATCTGTATCATTGACCCTGTCTAATCATGAGGCCTCACATACTTTGATCACTATACGAGGCAAGAGAGAGGTCCGACACGCCCAACATAGGGCGCGGCCATTTTGAACCCTGTGACATTTTACAGCTAAAGAATCAGATCGCTCACTCTGCGTCGGCACTTTTGATCTCAATGTTTCAGTTTATACACTGTGCAACTCGGATAATACAATATATGACAACCGCCTATAATAAAACAGCAGTCTTCTGCGTATCCTGAATTTGTATCCCTGGAGTGGATGTTATTTTGGAACTTTCAACTGGTCCGAGTGAGCTAACTGATTCTTTAGCAATAAACTGTGACTCCAAAAATAATATTCACTAACACTGACAGCAGCAAGCAAAATATCAGGTGCGTTTTAATCATCCGCTTCTGCTTCCGGAATTGTCGGTTTAGTCGTTTTAACCTGTCAGATTAAAACAAGAAAACCAACAATTCCGAAGCAGAAGCGGATTATTAAAACGCACCTATTAAAAATATTGCGCCAATATGTAGGCAACACGTAATAAGGGATCAAAATGGCGGAGTTTTCTATCTCCTTTTAAAAGGCGCTCAGAAAGCTGCGCAGTGCGACCATTATCCGTATAGCACATACTTTGATTACTATACGAGGCAAGAGAGAGGTCCGACACGCCCAACATAGGGCGCGGCCATTTTGAACCCTGTGACACAGTTTACAGCTAAAGAATCAGATCGCTCACTCTGCGTCGGCACTTTGGATCTCAATGTTTCAGTTTATACACTGTGCAACTCGGATAATACAATATATGACAACCGCCTATAATAAAACAGCAGTCTTCTGCGTATCCTGAATTTGTATCCCTGGAGTGGATGTTATTTTGGAACTTTCAACTGGTCCGAGTGAGCTAACTGATTCTTTAGCAATAAACTGGGACTTCAAAAATAATATTCACTGACACTGACAGCAGCAAGCAAAATATCAGATGCGTTTTAATCATCCGCTTCTGCTCCCGGAATTGTCGGTTTAGTCGTTTTAACCTGTCAGATTAAAACTAGAAAACCGACAATTCCGAAGCAGAAGCGGATGATTAAAACGCACCTATTAAAAATATTGCGCCAAGATGTAGGCGACACGTAATAAGGGTTCAAAATGGCGGAGTTTTCTATCTCCTTTTAAAAGGCACTCAGAAAGCTGCGCAGTACGACCATTCTCCGTATAGTAAAAGAAAATCTAAAGTATGTGCCGTATAGTAAAAGAAAATCAAAGTATGTGCTCAAATATCCAGTGAGAACAATAACAACAATCTTGAATGACATTGAAGATGAACAATAAGTTAATCAGTGACACAGGATTTTTTTAAGTGTATCTTATTATTCCTATTCATTCGTATCATATACTTTACCAAGAAATTTTTTTGTTTATACTTTAATATGATAATAACATTTTAGTCGTTTGTGATACGTCCTATTAGAATTTCGCTAATAGATGTAGTAACTCTGTTATACATTGCTGACATACTGTGCCTACTATTAACGAATTATTGAAACTACCTGGCTTATCTTCAAAACAATCAAAAATTCTCATTCTTTTTTTTCACGCTGCTTTGCCTCCCGCTGCGCGCGCTGGCTGTGGATTCTTCAATATAAATCCCATTTGTAAAATATATCCAATATATTTCCCAATTCAGCTTCGCAATCCGAACCGCCCTTTGCGAAAACGACGGTACCATCGGCCCGCCCCGCAACCGGTACGCCTCTGCTGTCTCCCGCTGCTTCGCTGACATCCCCTCCATCGGCGTATCCCGCCGTGCTGGTCGGACGGTCGAACAGCGACGCGAAGGGCAAGGTGCCGCCTCCGGTGCCGCCCCGTGGTACGCCCAAAGTGAAGCGCGGGTGCGAGAAAGGTGCGCCGGTGTCCGTTGTAGACGCATTTTCTAGTTGGCATGCGCCAGAGCCTCGCGACCTCAAGATCGAATACAGTTAGTTGATTGGTCGTTTAGTTTAGAACATTAGAACTATTAGAATTAGAAGTAGTTTTTTCTTCTTTGGAACAAGTAGCTGTTACTAAAATATGCATGAGTGTTGCGTAGAGATGCTCTAGGTTGACGATGTAGACAGGAAATATTTAATTGTTTCTCAAAAGTATTAGTATGGGTTATATTCGACACAAAATCAAAATGATAATTAGACGTAATACACAACTTAGATAATGATTTCCTATTAGATTATATGGTTTGTCATTGAAAAATTAAACTATATATGATAAATAATTAGTGATCAAACATAGGACAAAATGAAAAAATTGACATTCGTGTGAAAAATAATTATTGGTCGCAAAACAAAACCATACAACTCATTTAACACGAACATGTTAATATAGAGATATATACCCTTTACTCTGACACAAAATAATCTGCATAAAACTTTACACTGCTAGAGCGGCCTTGCGGCCAGAGTTCTCAGGTCTTTTTCTCTCCACTATCGACTATAGTTGTTTGGTTTATTGTATTTAGTTAAAACATGTATTGCATTTAGAATGTTTGTGTGTTCTTTAGATTTTTACTAATAATAATGTCAAATGTTACAAGTTCACAAACGTGCAATACGAAGGCTTGCAAGCATGGAAAATGAGCTATAAAGTAAATTTTATGCATACTAAGACTTTCGAGAAAAATTGTATACAGTGTGTTCCATAAAGTTGGATCCATATGGGAAATTTTGATAATATTCCGATTGGAAAAGACGTCGTGGGGCATTCGCCTCTGCTTTTTTAAAACTTAAAATGGCCCATACAAAGTTGGCTAGGTACACTGCATTAGTTATCTGTCAAATTCGGTATTTTTTTTAAAGAATCGTTCTAATTTTTTTTAATGCCAATTTGACAGAAAACTAATGTCAGTAGCTTTGACATGGGCTATTTTTAAATAAACAGAGGTGATTGCCCTACGACTTTTTTTTTCAATCGTAATATTAAAAAAAATCCCATATTGATCCAACTTTTATGACACACATTGTATTTAATTTGTTCTAATATATTAAAGAACGGGAAAAATATGTGCAGATACGTTGTTGGTAGAAAAAGAAAAAACTTGTAAGTATTGGCTCAGCTGAATTAGTAACAGTTATTTAAACACAAAAGTAGAGTACTATATACTTTTTTTTTGATTTAATAACCTAATTTCAAATTTGTGCACTCTGATTTCAATGTATTTTTTACATTCTTTTCTTGAAAAGGAATCAAACTGCTCGATTTATAAGAAAAAATATTTTTTTATGACTATATATATGTCGTAGCCAAATTGTAAAACCTCTCGTTTAAAAAAAATGTCTAGACATTTTATAAAATGCGGCCAGATTGTCAAAGTCTGATTTAACATTCATTATTTTCCGATCTGGCTAGTCGGATTGTAAAATGCCTAGATGTTTTATAAAATGACGGTCAACACGCGGCCAGATTGTCAAATGTTTAAAATTATATTCTGCTTAACATTCTGGCGGGTGAAATGTTTGAGTCGTTTTATAAAATACGAAATTTACTTTAAAGACCCATCAAAATTTTTATTTACGGATTTAATGGAATTAAAACATATAACGAATATTTTACATATTTTTTTAATGAACAACAAATGAAACTGAAGAACAAATTAAACTCTAGAACAAATAAAACTGGAGTACAAATGAACATACGATAAAACAACACTTGCAAGTTTAAAAGAACCAATAATAGTCTTAGATCCGACCGTATGATTTCTGCACTGTGTTTTAATAAAAATACAATTTCTATTCGCTCCGTGCGTGACTGCTGCGCTAATTCATTTATGTACTAATGGACTATTTTTGCGTATACTGATAATACAATTTTTAATAGAATTCGAAATAAAAAAGTATGTTAGTTTTAATAAAAGTATATGGATTTGTGAAACAAGTGAAACATTAATTTATTATTATATATTTTTAACGCTTAAACTAAAAAAAAAATAAGTTTAATCAATAAAAATCAATAATAAAATATAGGCAGGCAATAGTATTTACAGGAAAACGTCAGAAAAATGTATGAGAAGTTGCCAAGTCCAATAAGTTGTCTTTAAAAAATTAACCTATTCTGTCAAAATAAAAACAATCCATTAAATAATCGCGTGATGTTAAAATGTATAAACAGAAGGATTGTTATTTATATTTTCATTTTTGTTCAAAAGAAAACATAGAATGAATGATTAAAACTGGTTTTCTATCAGTAAGTCACAAAACGTTTTTGATCGCTGTGTCCCCAAATACACTATTAAAACTAACAACAAAAATCCTGCTTGGTTTCATTTTAATATTATTAAAGATATTAAACTTAAAGCTAAACTTCATCACTTGTATAAGTTAAATGGCGATGAGGGTACTTTTCGCGAGTTTCAACGTCTGAGAACTAAAATTAAATTAGACATCGAAAATTCATATCAATCTTTTGCACGGTCAGCATAATCTTATATAAAAAATGCTCCTAATAAATTTTGAAATTTTATTAATAAAAGGAAGGGTAATAACTCGGTATCTAACAACATGACATACAACAACGTGTCGTTAAGAGATCCTGATGCCATCGTAAATGGATTTGCCGAGTACTTTAGCAAATCCTATAATGTATCCACGAACGCTACTCCACCATTCGACTTTGAATGTAACTCAATATTTAACCTCTCTAAATTTGAGGAAGAAGAAGTGTTATGGGCTTTAAGGCAGATCAAACCGAAGAAAACCATCGGCCCTGGCCATGTGCCGGCGTTTATAGTTAGAGACTGTGCTGTAAGTCTTACTGTACCTCTAATGATTATTAAGCTTTATACTGTACCTAATTTGTGGAAAAGTTCTAAGGTTTGTCCTATATTTAAGAAAGGTGACAAAACGGACATTGCGAATTTTAGACCAATATCGATAATATGCAACTTTAGTAAAGTCTTCGAAATCCTTCTGCACACTTAGAGTATTATATTTCACCCATGATATCATACCATCAACATGGTTTTGTAAAAAGTCGATCTACTGTAACAAACCTCGTCAGATGCACACAGCATATCGCAGAAAATATGGACAATCGACTGCAAACTGATGTTGTATATACAGACTTTTCAAAGGCGTTTGACAGACTCGATCATGGGATTCTCATAAACAAACTGATCGGTTACGGGTTGTCAGAGTCTGTCATAAAACTGTTCCGTTCATATTTGCAAAATCGTCAACAGTATGTTTTCTTAAACGGTTTTAAGTCTGTAGAATACTTTGCAACGTCTGGGGTGGCGCAAGGATCTGTCCTTGGTCCTCTGCTTTTTAATATATTTATTAACGACATCGTGGAGTGCATTGATGTAAATTGTCTTTTATATGCAGATGATTTAAACATTTCCAGTTCAATTTCTTCCAATGCTGACTGCGAACGTATGCATAATAACATAAAATCAGTCGAAAATTGGTGTCGCTTAAACCTTCTCCCTTTAAATGCATCAAAATGTTTTATAATGTCATTTTCATTAAAACCGGATATTATTTTATTCAACTACAAGATAAACAGGTCATCTCTACAAAGACCTGAACATTTTGTCGATCTTGGTATAACTTTTGATCCAAAGCTCTTATTTATATTACACATTGAAAAAACTGTATCTGCTGCATCAAAAATGTATTGGTTTTTGATACGTGTTAGTAGGGAGTTTTTAGATATAGAAACTCTTAAAATGCTGTATTTTTCATTCGTTCGGTCTAAACTGGAGTATGCTTCCATAATTTGGAATCCCCATTACCAAACTCATCGGAACAAGTTAGAATCAGTGCAGCGGCGATTCTTAAGATTCATTTACTTCAAACAGGATGGCGTTTATCCGGAAATAGGTACACCTCATCAATATCTGCTTAACAGACATAACTTTATTGATCTTGAGATACGGCGAAATTGTCATCTAATCATTTTCATATACAAATTAGTACATAACAAAATCCATTGCGAAAAACTATTAGAACAACTTGATTTTAACGTTCCGAGAACTACTACACGGTCGCAGTCTACTTTCTCCCATCAGCAAGAACTAATGTTTTAAAATCATCACCACTGCATAATATGTGTACATTATTTAACTTAGTCAGTAACACTATATATATATATATATATATATATATATATATATATATATATATATATATATATTGTATTGATCTAAACTTTACAAGGTTTTAGAGTATTCACGTAGAACAATAATTCAAAATAATAAGCAACAAAAAGTTTGATGATGCAAGTATATTGTTATTTTATGACTACACCCTGTATGTGGGATTAAACCTTACACAGATAATAAATTATATTGTTAACAAATTACTATGTGCATTCCTAATTTATTTAAGATATGAAAAGTTAAATTAAAGCTTGATCAAAGAACTTACTAAAATTTGGGTACTAAATGGAATCGTAAAATACCTCCTTTCAAAAGTATTATGACAGACTATCTTACTAGAAGTAATTATTAAGTTTTAACTATAATAAAATGTTGGTTTAAACATATTTCTACCGGCATAGTACATAAAGGATACTCATATTAGTGTTGAATACTTTTTACAAGTAAATTAGAAAAAGATGTTTTTACCATGCTATGACATTTGACCAATATGTGAATAAATTTATCGAATGAAATAAATATAATTAATTTTTGGTAGCAAATGGAAAATATTAATGTTATTTTAAATATTGTATCAATATGAGACACATTAGGTCAGTTTCAGCTAATTTTGCCAATATTTCTTATTGACCATATGTATGAACCTAAATGTTAATAAAATTAGTGTTAGATGTTTTCTTAACATATAAGCGAATGTTAGAATATAAAGTGGGTTCGGTGAGCATTTTACTCATAGAAAGACATTGCCAGAAGGT